ATGAACTGAAAGAATTTGTGAAGATAATGAAAGTGCAACAACTGTAAGTTTTGGAGAATCTGATTTAATTAATTGAAGAACAACAGAAAGTAATGTGGTTAAAACAACTTCAGATATAATTTGTTGTTGAGCAATACTAATTAATAAAGTACAAATAAAAGTACTATAACGAGCATTATGAATAAGAATAGGATGGTCTATATAAAAATTAATTAAAGCTGAAAGTGTAGTTGGGAATTGAGTCAAATGAATAACAAAATCTCTTCTACTAATTCTATCTAAATTAATAAAATTAGTAAATATTGTTGGCTTACATAAAGATAATAAACGAATGAATAATGGGTTTTGATAATGAGATAAGAACGAAAGAATTAATTCATTAGCTCCAAGTATATTAATGGAATAAACACGAATCATGTATTCAATGATTGGCCCACATTCTGGATTTAAGAAATGTTGACTTAAATAAGGTAAGAAATTTGATATTTTTTTTGATAATTCTTTATTTTGAGTATCTGTTAACATATCTCTATTACATTGCTCTGATTCATCTCCAAATAATGATGCTTTCCATTCACTTAACAATTCATGGTTTTTAAATAAATGGTTTAATGAGTCTAATGCCCCTCGATGTAATGTATATCTATCAATAAATTTAGCCTTATTATTGTCATAAATAAAGGATACAATATGAGAAGTGTTAACAGTTGGAACAAAGGTATTAAGTTGTGATGCGATAGACATATTAGACAATGATTTTTTCTTGATAGAAAAAGAAAAAGGGTTTCTTAAACCTTCTTAAAAAACCTAATTATAATTAAAGAGAAGTCTAAAAGAAATTTAATTGAAATTACACTTCCAAATATTTTAGTTTACACCATAAAGATATATTAAATAATAGATTTAAAAATGAACATATCATTATATTTCATACACCCCTTATATTTTGTGATGATATTATTCAGTGGTTAATTACTAAGACATACCTATATATACTTACTAAAGAAGCAAATTAATGTTTATTTTTTTAAATACGTACTGTTGTATTTTTTCATGTAAAACCAAAATAATCGAAAAGAATAAAAAATAGTGTTGAATGAGAAAGATAAAGTAAAGACCTTATCTTATTTTCTTCAATAAGTTACAACCAAATATAATCTAAATTAATCAAGGTAACTAAGAAATATAAATTTATTTTATTTTTCATTAACTATATATTTAAAAGATGCACTTTATCTAATTTTTGAAATAGACCAATATCACCAAATAAAAAAGTATCCAAAACATAACGTATAGTTTGTTTTATTAGACCTAATGAATAAAATAATTTAAGTAACAAAACTAAATTAATTATTGTGTTTTCAATATAGGTGTTAGAAGATGGTAATAATAAAACCAAACCAAAAATAATGACAGAGTTATTCTTCAAATCATTTGGATTTAGGTAATAGTTATTTAGAAATTTATACGATTTGACAGTTTGAGGAGCGATAGTACAGACACAATGGGGTATGCGAAGATTAACAATTTAAAAGAAGTGCATTTGATTATTTCAAAATTAACAGTTTCAAAAAAAAGATAATACTCAATTAAAGTTCTTTCTCAATACTTAAGACCAGTATTAAAATTAATAAAAAAGTCAATTAAGACAATCAAATATTTAAGGTATGAAGAAAATAGTCAAAGAAAATAAAACAGAATTTAATGATCCCTTGATAAAAATATTTTGATAAAAGTGAAATCTCAATTATAAGGTATTAACTAAGAAAAAAAAAAGATTAGTTCTGTATTATTTTTATTAATAGAGAAATAAATAGTTACTTAATTATGTATTTTTTTTTAATTAAAAGAAATTAAAAGAATATTTCATTAATATTTTAAAATTATTGATTTATATTATTCCCAAAAAACATTTTTTAAATTAGACAAATCATAAATTATAGAATAAAATTGTATAATTAAATTTATATTGCTTTATTTTTTATTATACCTTTTGTTCAGAAATGTTCTGAGTTGGGTTAGTACCTGAAATAATATTCTCTCTTAAATAAAAAGCTCAAACATTTTATAATATAGCTTCTTTTTGTCTCAATGAGATTATTTTTGAAGTAAGTATTAATATTTGAAAATAAATAAAAGAAAAAAATAAGTATTTGTTTATAATAAAATTAACTTCAAAATATTATTAATAAAAGAATAATTCAAATTTAAAAACAATAAAACAACTCTCTTATATTTTTTTTAATAAATAATATTCTTAAAAAAATATAATAAAGAAATATTTCTATGGAATAAGATATAATTTTATTAATATACATTTATTTATTTTAATAATTGATATTTGTTGGTTGTCATTGTATATTATTTATTATTTAAATATACAACGTTTATAATTTAGTATCTTATGTGAATAAAAAGGAATTAATATTGGATAAAATATTGATTATGTTTTGATGATTTTTAATATAAATATATAAATATAATGATTCTATAATTCAAATCTTTAAATTTTTTATAAAAAAGTTAATGGAAGAACCACCTTTCATCAATAACACCACTTTAGTTTTTCTTTCACTTCCTAATAATACAACAGAAAAATTATTAGGATTTGCTTTAAAAGACTACATTGCTACAATTAAACAAATACATGTTGTTGGGCCATTAGCTTACGTAGAGTTTAAAACACATCAACAGGCACTTAAAGTGCATCAACAGAGAAGTCATATTGAAGTTAAAAAGAAAAAAATTATAATATGTTGGAAATTAACAAAAGAAGTAAAAGAGAGAAACGAATATAATTATGATCTTTATGGATTAAAAGATGATATAACTGATGAGTCATTACAACTCTACTTTGAAAATAAGGTAAATATTTTAACATTACTTACTGGAAAGAATGTACATGGAAATTATGCTCTTATGAAAGTAAACAACCAACAAGAAGGAGAGTGGTTATTAGAAAATAAAGATACTATTCAAAAAGATATTGGTACAGATAATTTTGAATTAAAAGTTCATCAAATTAAACAAGATGATAAAACAAATGTGTTAGTAAAAAATTTACACAAAGACTTAACTGAAACTGATGAGTTAATAAATTATTTTTTAACATTTGGTGAAATTGATTCATTAAAGTTAACTGAAGTTAATGAAAAATATAATACAAAAGCATTATTTATTAAATACAAAACAGAAGAGTCTGCAAATAAAATGATTGAAACAGTAAATGGTAAGGATATATTTTCATATGGTTTACCTTTAACAGCTGAATTATTAAAAAGTAAAAAAGATTATAAATCTGAGAAGAACAAAATATATTATGATAAACGCAGAATATTAGAGACAGACCTAAAAGGAAATAGTCTTTTTATTAAAAATATTCCAAAACAACTTCTTTCAAGAGAAGCTTTCAAAAACTATTTTTCTCGATACGGAGAGTTATTTGATTATACCATACTTATTGATAAAAGAATAGGTTACATTTGTTATAACGAATACGATAATGCTTGTGACTGTGTTGCTGGAAATCACGGTAGAATGGAAGTTCAATTTAAAGAGAAATTATACAGAAATCCTGTTGTTGATGTATCACCCTTTGCTAAACTTCCGTTTAAATGAGTTATTTAACAAATTAATTAAAAATTAGGTATTTAACATCTTTAAAACTATAAAAAATAGAATATAAAAATGAAAAATTTAATTTATTATTCTAAAGCTAATTTATCTAAAATTTCTAAGGCATCTGCTGCTACTTTCATTGTTGGTTCAATATTTGATTTTTCTGGTTTAACAAAAGTATTTAATCTTCTGTTAGCCACAACCATACAAATACATCCAACTCTAACCCAACTAAAGTTTTGAGTAATTTGAGCAATTGCTGCAATTTCCATTTCAAAGTTTTCAACTTTAATTTCATCGATTCCAATATGTGTTAAAACACTATCTAAAGCATCAATAGTTGGATGGTTTTCTTCAAATAATACTCTTCCTTGACAACCAAAGAACCCTGCTGCTGATGCAGTAATACCAACTTTATAATGTAAATTATCTTTCTTTGATGCTTCTATTAATGCATCAACAACATGTTTATTAGGAATAGATACATATGGATGAAGTCTTCCTTTAAATCTTCTCCCTTCAGGAATAGCTTTGTTTATTTCTGAATCAACAATCTTTTCTAATTCAATACCAAATGGATTTGTTAATGCAACATCATAATACATTCCAGTATTATCAAGTCCAATTGCATATTTAGTGATAATAGATGTTCCTAACTCTGTTTCTTCTTGTACAGCACCTGAAGTACCTACCCTAATAATGTTAAGAGCTTTTTTTGGTTTACTTTTAACAGTTCGTGTTTCAACGTCAATGCATTTAAGTGCCAATATTTCATTAATAATGATTTCAGTACTTCCGGTTCCCATTCCAGTTGTTACAATAGACATTCTAACTCCATTTGGAGTATATCCTGTCATAGTAGTTAATCCTCTATGATCATGTCTAAAAATTGGTTTTGTTTGATCTAATACTACAGCAGCTGCTTTTGGAACTCTTTCAGGATCACCAACTACAATGATATTATCAGCAAGGTCATCAGCAGAAATAGCAAGATGATAAATATTTTTTCCTGTTGCAGGAAGAGTAGCTTCAGTTAATTTAGTCATCTATTAAACTATTCAGAGATGGGTTTAAATCAACGAATAAACACAAGTATTAGAACGTTGAATATAATAATCTATTATTAAGTGGAATGTTTAGGAATCTTCTTTAATGGAATCTTTATATGAATAGCTTCTTTTATTTTCTTTATATTAAAGAAGTTCAAAAAATAGGATTTTAAATTATTAATTATAATATGTTATTTCATTTTACTATCTATTTACTTTGTGTTAATTTTAAATAAATGATATTCATATATTAAAAGAATAAATTATACTTCTTTAAACATTAATTTTTAGTTTTATTTTTTGTTATTACTTTTAATTTAATAATTTTTGTTTTTTGTATAATTTCTATTAATTTTATTATTATTGGAATATTATATTTCTCTTCTTTTCGTTAAAGTTATGCTGTGTTTCTACGTTGTTTCAATGAATTTTGTGAATCTCAATTCTCTTCTTTTTTTCTTATTATATTTTTCTCACTGAAGAACTATTATTTTATTATAAAATAAAGATGTATAAATTCATCAATTAAGTATTAATTATCATAAAAGAAAGTACATGAAAATAGTCTATTGAAAAAATTGATAAATCGGAATACTAAGTCTCGTACCAGAAATCAACTATTATTATTTATTAAATAAAATTATCATAGAAATCTTTCTTGTATTTAATAAAGTACGTATTATTGTTTAATTTATTTATTAACTAGTTGAAAATAAAACACTATACAAACTGTTTAAAAAATTAAGGTGGTAAGAATAAATAATGAAGTATTGAATGATTTTTCATCCAAAAAACTATGGTTCAATACGAAAATGATGAAAGAATGAAAAAAAACACATTAAAATAAAATA